GAGCTGGCCACTCAATGTTGAGGTGAGCGGCCGCTCGTTCACACACGTCCAGGAGGATAGACTGGGGTAAAGCAGCAGGGGCGTTAACCAGGGGAACGCTAGAGGGCGGGATGGGCTCCTCGTCCTCCGAGACCCCGAGAAGGCCCGCATCGTCATCGTCGCTGGAACCAGCCGGTTCGTCGCCAAACGGGAGGTTACCTGCGAAAATGTCCTCTTCGGGAAAAACAGAATTGGGCTGGTCAGCCCAGTTGAGAGACGTTGCGCCCCGGGAGGCCCCCGGTAGCGCGTCGTCATCACCGTGTCCCCCATCCGAGTCCGAAAGGCTGAGCTCGACGCACTGGGTCGCGGCAACTTTGAGACGGCGCCGAAGGAGCTTTTTAGGCAACGTGAGGCAATGGCTGCAGTTTTCCGGGTTCTCCAAAGCCTCTTCAGCATGCTTGAGGCCCAAGCAGACCACGCAGAAGGGGTGCGGATCCTTAGTGGCGACGGCGCGCCACACGCGGTCGGGTAGGCCCGTGATGTGCAGCCCCCGAGAGAAGTAGGTTTAGAGAGCAACATGCCGGCGAAAAACTGAGTAAAATCCGTGGCGGGCAGCCATGGAAAAGGGGAGCAGGTGAAAATAATCACAGAGCGTGGGCGGCTCAGGATGCAAATACAGCTTCTTCTGGGCTGAATAAAAGACTGTCACGTCTGGCGGAGGCTGATCTTGACGATATGTCCTCCTGAAGATACGAAAAGTGAGCAGTGATAAATCCAACCCAAGCTGTGAGGTGCAGAGATCACGAGAAGCGAATGACAACTGGAGAATAGCGTCGCGTGCAGGCCTTATATGCTCTCAGGTAAGGGGATGGGACCTTACCTGGCATTGGCTGCACGCTTCTGTCTGTCTAGCCAGACTTGGTGCAATTGGATGCTTCTGCAGAGGTCAGGTACGGATGCCCTTCCCATAGGTTTATTTCAAACACAAGATGATGAAAGAGAACACACTAGGTGATTTCAGGCGATTTGGTTTTCTTCTGAAATAAATGTTGTCAATATAATTCCTTATTACCTAAATGTACGATCAGAGATCGAACTGGTGTGAAAATTTCAAACACAATCAGGCCAAAACTATGTTCACTTGGAGTTCGTTTGGGAAGTTCAGTACAGTTTGCCAAAGCGAACTTTCCAGAAATCTGGTAAACACCTATGCTCCACGAAAGTCAGACGTCCACAAATAAAAACATGAACACACCGGAGAGCTGCTTTATAGTAGAAACTGAAGTAGTAATTCTAAGTGAAAGTGACACTGTTTTTATGTTTAATACTATAAAGCTGCTATTCAGTAAATAAACGTGACTTGACTGGAGTGCGGAATTGCAGAGCTGGTGTGAACATATACACATTGCTATGATCAGATACTTTCCTAACTGCTGTTTTCTCAGCACTGTCATTTTTGTTGTGCGTTTATTTTGTTATTGAGAGGAAAGCGTGCAGCATAAATTTACATATTCATCTAAATGCTCCAAACAGCTTGGGTGCCGTTGAGATTTTTGCTAACAGCATACCAATGCAAGGGTATTTCAAACCTCTTTTACCCCTAAGCGAAGAGCGAAAAAGAACTTTGCCGTGAGTATATTGGGGCCTTAAATCTAGTTGAGGTGCTGTTAAGCTACATACTCAAACTATATTGTTATATGCATATTCACTGCTGTTCTCCAGGAGGCTGGATCGGATCCGGAGGGCTACGGCAGAGGAGCAGAGTCCAGTCCAAGTGCCTCCCACCTCAGACACCAGTCCACAGAGCCAACCTGCAACCCCTCCCCCCTGGCAAATGGAGCCGCCGCCATCCTATGAGACTGTTATGAAGACCACTACAGCTGTAAACCAAGTATAACCACTGCTTTGACTGTAGACACCGACACATTATGATGTGATTATGAAAAGTTGGTCTAATTGGGGGTGCACAGATATCAAAAATCTGTCATTCACAGTTAAGCCAGTAATTATTTTCATCTAATGGCTGATAACTGATAAATGGCCATATTAAAACCTATTCTACTTAAATAAATAAATACTTTAAAGGGTTAGTTCACCCAAAAAGGAAAATTCTGTCATTAATTACTCACCCTCATGTCGTATAAGACCTTCGTTCATCTTCGGAACACAAATTAAGATATTTTTGATGGAATCTGAGAGCTGTCTGACCCTGCATAGACAGCAACGCAACTGAAATGTTCCCAACTCCAGAAACGTAGCAAGGAGATAGATAATTTTACGAAGTTACGAGAATACTTTTTGTGCGCAAAAGAAAAAAAAAACGACTTTATTCAACAATTTGTCTCCTCCGCATCACCTTGGTGCCATTTTGGAGAATATCAACTGGACATAAACAGCGTTATGCTGTTCTGTGTCAGCTGCGTCATGCAGGGTGAGTAATTAATGACAGAATTTTCATTTTTGGGTGAACGAATCCTTTAAATGCTACAACTGAATGTAGGCATCAAAACACAGATGTGATGAAAGATGGATATTTTTCATTTTTTCATGTGCAATAACTAAAGTCCAACAAGTGTCATAAACAGTTTTAAAATGGGAAGAAAACAGTCTTTCTTATTTCTTGTATATGCACATTTGTAGGCTAATTCTGTGAACCATCCTGTAATCTCGTTTCTCACTTGTGTCATGCCAGTGTTTGTGGATAGTGAAATTGAAAACTTAAAGCTTATTTAATCATCATCATCGGCTTGAGGTCTGAGAGACCCCAAGGCCATTTCAAGAGTTCAAAAACTAGTTACCATTGAAGGTTGATTGTTGTTAAGTTGTTTACTTTCATTTGTTTTATTGTATTTCTCTACAGTGTTTTTACTGGGGTCAAAAACAGAAACAGTATTTCTAAAATAGATACCAGCCACAGTAATGAAATGTGGATTTCTACTTTGTGATAAAAAAAAAAAAAGGGAAAAGTGTCAATATGGGTTTTGATTAGGTCAGATAAAGGGAATGAACATACATTAATTTGAAGGGAAAATAAGATATTAACTTAAAAACACTATTGTTATTTAATATTACACATACACTACCATTCCAGTTTTGGGTCTGTAAGATTTCAAAAACAGTAAAAACAGTAACATTATGAAATACTATTACAATTTATAACGGTTTTCTATTTGAAAAAGTAATGAATTCCTGCAATGGTAAAGCTGAATTTACAGCACGTATAAGACCTTCGTTCATCTTCGGAACACAAATTAAGATATTTTTGATGGAATCTGAGAGCTGTCTGACCCTGCATAGACAGCAACGCAACTGAAATGTTCCCAACTCCAGAAACGTAGCAAGGAGATAGACGGTAAAATAATCCATGTGACATCAGGGGTTGAACCGTAATTTTACGAAGCTACGAGAATACTTTTTGTGCGCAAAAGAAAAAAAAAACGACTTTATTCAACAATTTGTCTCCTCCGCATCACCTTGGTGCCATTTTGGAGAATATCAACTGGACATAAACAGCGTTATGCTGTTCTGTGTCAGCTGCGTCATGCAGGGTGAGTAATTAATGACAGAATTTTCATTTTTGGGTGAACGAATCCTTTAAATGCTACAACTGAATGTAGGCATCAAAACACAGATGTGATGAAAGATGGATATTTTTCATTTTTTCATGTGCAGTATTGAAAGGTATTTTTCAATAACTTTCATTTTTAAATCTGCTACAAAAAAGGTTGGTTTGAATGAAAAACAAAAACAAAGTAACAACTAATTTTTATGCATGAACACACAGCTCTGCATGCACTCTACAAGAGATGATGCACTTAAAGGGTTATATATATATATATTTTATATCTCTATCCTGCAAGTTATTGTTACAGTAGATGCAGACTTCAAAATTAATCTGAATCTAAAAGGGAAACTGAACCCAAACTCCAGTAATGGTAAAGCTGAATTTACAGCATCATTACTCCAGTCTTCAGTGTCACATGATCCTTCAGAGATTATTCTAATATGCTGATTTGATGCTCAAGAAACATTTCTTAATAATATCAGTGTAAAAAACAGTCGAGCTGCATACTATTTTTTTTGTGGAAACCATCAGTAAAATAAATGTAAATGTCTTTACTGCTTTTATCAATTTAAAGTCCCTGCTGAATAAAAGAATTACTTTCTTTAAAAAAATTATCATAAAAAAAAAAAAAATCACACCCAAAACTTGAATGGTTTTGTTTATTACTGGGCTTGGTGGAAACCTAAACAGAACATGAAGGTTAAGATGCTAGGTTATGATTGTAATGCCACTGAGTACCTCTTTATTAATAAGCTGAACCAAATATTGAATTGTGCCTTGATTTTTACTTATTTTTTCCTAATGACCAAAACATGTTTTTGAGATAGATTTAGACATTTCTTAATGTATATTATCTAATTTTTCTATATTAATGTTTGACCTACATTGTTGTAAGATGAGATTGAGAATTTCTTTTTACCTCTCTCTTGAATGTCACTTTCACTGTCACTTTAACAGGCCTGTCTTTTTCCCATGTGTGTGTTTTATTAATAATATATCACATAATGCTGCATAAGTGTGTTTTCAGTGATGTTTTGTCAGTTACACATCATTTTGTTAGTATATTACTATAACATGTGCATAAAAATACCGATACGCCATATGATACAAAAACTGTATTGTTAATTTGTATTTGGTAACCAATAATATTATCAAACCAAAAGTTGTTGTGTGTTTTTGTTCTTTATTTCTCTTCTACTATATCATTAAGATGCCAGAATTCCTGGAAATTAACGTAGTAAGATTGTTCAAGCCAATGCAACCTTTACCTGGGGGAAGGTCACCTGACTAAGGCCCATTACAGGTTCAATGATCCGTATCTCTGTTCTCCACTGGCCCTGCGTCCTGTCACTCACTTCTGCCCTTCACCTCTATGGGGACACATTCATAAAGCTCCACACGCTCACCAGTACTTTCCTCTGTTAACATACCACCACTGGACTTCTAAGTTTCCTCCATGGCAGAGAACAAGCCGTACCGTTATGGGCTCATCGTTCTTGGGATGGCGTTTGTGGCATTGGGTCTGTTCATGATTTCTGTAGAGAAGCCACAGGTGTTCGCCACGTTCTGCGCTGCGGGAGTGATAATGGTGGTTATGGGGACCGTCTGGTCGGTGTGTCAGTGTTACCCCAGGGTAAGGAGGGTGGGCTCTTCCCACTGTTCGCAAATAGATGGATTTCATGTTTTATGTTCATTGCAGAGAATCAAGCATGTGCATATAATTTGTCTCTTTGTAGTATTCAAGGTGACAAAACTGACTATGTTGGTGTAGCATGGTAGATTAATGGAGTTTTCAAGGTATAATATCAGATCTTAGGTAATTAATACTCAAAGTTAGAGTTTGGATTGTTTTACATTTGAGTGTTTCACCTGTCCTACAGGTGACTGTCATACTGCCAGATAAGGAAAAGCTCTGTGGGGCTGGAAAACAGGACTTGAGTGCTGGAAGCTCAGATGAAAAAAGGTTAGAGTGACCTCTTTACAAACAATATAAATTTAAGATAAACTGCAAACGGCATTAAGATTTTTGACTGAAAAGCATTTGCCAATGGGAAGCATACAATTAATTCAAGAAACTATTGTCTATTTTATGTCATGTCAATAAATGTGGTTCTCTAGTAAATTTATATTGTAGAAAACAAAACAAAAATAAACTATTGATTTTTTTTTTTGCAACAAGGTGTTTACAAAGCTAATTAAGGATGTTCTAAATAGAAACACTTTTTTTTCTTTTTTTGGGATTGAATTAATAATTTACTTTAAGAGTAAAGATAATGCAAATGATCGTCTCCATCACCCTCCATTCATTCATCCAGTCTAATTCAATCTCTTCCTTCTCTTTCTGTCATTACACTGTGTGTTTATGTGTTTTCTGAGAGCCCATCAAGACTCATTACTTTCTAAGTCTAAATTCACTTCCTCTGTAACTGGGTCCAGCAGTTGGCTAATTGAATCTTATGAGCCAGAGAATGTAATTACTCTGAATATGATAAGATTATTTTTGGCAAAAATCTTCAAGAGACAAGGGTTCAACCTTACAACTCAACAGCCTCTAAGAATCTCTCTCTCGCTCTCTCTCTCTCTCTCTCAGCATAATCAACACTATTTGATGTAAATTACACTGATAATAGTGAGTTTTAGAAAGCAGTCTACAAAATAATGAATTCATCTACCTGCCTGACAAAAAAAATAAATAAAAATGTAGCAACTGGCATCACTATACTCAAGATCATCCATCTTTATCTCCATCATCAAATCTTTCCACACTGACTGACATTTACACATTTTTATTTATTTAGTTTGCCTTTGTTGCAAAGTGACCAGGGGCCTCATTTATAAAATGTGCGTACGCACAGATTTGATCTTAGAGTGTGTGTACGCTAAAATCCACGGCAACGTTCATATTTATAAATCCGGTCTTTGACGTGGAAAAGTACTTACCGCCACGTCAGGGTCTGAGCAGGCGTAGCCTACGCACTTTTCCTTGTGGCAAAGTCGAAGTACTGCAGTGTTTTGTCTGTGTAGCCTATAAGAATAGGCCTATGTCGTGCAATGACGGTTTTAATCTATTCTATTCAATATCATTGTTAACTGTTTTCATTTATAACATCTGCTGCTTTGCTTCTTTGAAAATGAATAGAGACATCAGCCTTAAACGTTGTTTTTGTCATTTACTTCAGTTATATTTGTATAAAATACACTATTTTGTGTCAGTACATTAATGGCACATTTGAGCAGCATTAGTAAACTGTGTAAATATAAAGAAATGCCAAATCACATGCAGGTTTTTTCAGACCGGAGACCATAATTGTGTAATAATTTATTTTATTATGATATGAAACATCCAGTTTTTCTTTCAATAATGTTTCTTAAAGTTTTGCAAGAATTTCATGATATTAAACTTTTTTTTAGTTGTCATAGCAAGTGGTTTTAAAAGTAGGATGGCTCACTTTTTATAAGATGACTGAAAATTTTACTTGAATTC